TATATTGATACTTTATATATTTTGTAAAGAACCATGGATTTATGTCAAAAGAGAAGGAAGTGATTGTGGAGCACTGATAGAGTTTTAATGATGTGTTCATCTCTCTCCAACCTGCAGTACTGAGCGCACAAGTAGCAGCACAGATCAGGCCAGTTTAATTTATGTTATATAATCTCAATGTTGGGTGCACAAATTTTGCAGTCCTGGGCTTCAGAATGAACCATATATTTAAATGCACTGAAACCTGCAGTGACTTTTACCATCTCAGTGAGATATATATCAGTTTATTTTATTTTACATAATCATCTAAACCCTATTTATTTTCACTTTGCTGTTTCTCATTTTGCAGATTCATGGTTCTAATGAATGGCACCAAAGCATAATCCTTCCACATCTTCTTGAAATATCTGTTAAGAATGTGCATGTATTTGAGAAGGAGGGTGAACATCCTTTATTCATGGGAATTAAGAAGGGTGTACCTTACATTAACTTTGTATGGTGTGTATTTTGCACTCAAATACAGAGGGGCCCAAAAAATGTATACACACCATTCTGCCACCATTTTCTTTGACTGTCCTGCCATTCTATAAGGTGCCTCTGGCATTCATGTGACTACCGCTGTCTTTTCAGAGAATATCACACTACATATCTTAAATTATGTTTTCTGTCAACTTTACAAATGTCCACAGATAACCTCTATTACATTGTGTGTTTATTTCTGGGGCCCCTCTGGGAATGGTCACTCCCAGTTAAAGTCTGGAACCTGGCTCTCTCTGATAGTCTGAGAGATAGTCACAAGTATGTGGAAGAGAATGGAACAATTTAGCACTAGTAGTTACTATTGGATTCTGACGATGGTGTATAACACGTAGAGATAATGGGTTTTCAGACATTATCCATCGTCCTGGTTTTAAGATAACTAAGAAAAAACACGATGTTTTGGAAACTGGATCTGTTTCTGTCCTCAGGTCAAGGAAAACACCTATTCTGTTGGGTCCAGTGATTGAGGCTAGCTCTTTCTAAGGGACCCACCAGGATAGGTGTTTTCCCTCACCTGAGGACGGAAACAGATCCAGTTTCCAAAACGTTGTGTTTTTTCTTAGTTATTTTAAAACCAGGAGGATAGATAAAGTCCGAAAACCCAGTTTCTCTATGAATTTAGCCCCAGTTTCATATGCCCCCTAGTACTTTTTCAGTCTTGACAAAATATAATAAAACTGATATTAAAGGTAGTTTTTGAAAATTATATGACCCAATTAGACTTGTGAATTGAGGCAGTTATATTTGGATTGTATTTTGATATGAAATGAAAGCTTTGTGTATAACAAACCGTGTTGCAAGAAAGTACCAGAAATATCTTTCAATTAAACACTTTTTTTTCAAAACTGCTCAGCATTATTCATGTGAGAGATGGATGCCACAGCAGTGTAGTTCTTGGAAACCTGTAGGGTGTGTCACTCATTAGTTGACAGCAAATTATTGTACAAGATAATGTTTACATATGAAAAAGTGGATATGTGCTAATTGCTGCAAGGATAACCACTTCCCAGCAAAATTGTTGCACAATATAAGTTCATGAACTCGAGTAAGATTACTTTTTCACAATCCTATTAAATTTCTAATCACTTCTAAATGTGTACAATTGAAATTGAAGAGATTCAGGAAATAAATACATTTTCACCGTGAACAAAAGATATTTCAGGCTAAAGATATATATACATATATACATATACTGACATTTCCAGGGGAGATATGAACATCCAAAATTTGCATGTACAACTCCTTAACTTCTGTGTCAGTTGGAAAATTTATACTGATTTACATTTCATTAAATACAAATATATGTTGTCATTTATTCACCTAGAGCATGATCCACAAATCTGTTATGAGATCTAGAACCTCACAATCAGTCTTGTTGAGAAGGCTTAGAGTAATGTTTTCCACTGAGATTTCGCCATGTAGGAAATTTGTAATAGCATCTATATTGTTTTGAATCAAGTCAGTGTTGACTTATGTATAGAGCTTGAACTTCTGAATTTTGTGGCACACGTTGTAAAAGGGTATGTGGCAAGCTTAGTGGAATGTGCGAGGATTAGCTTATGCTTGTTGAATGATGTCTATTTCATATATTTAACTATTATAATAGGAAGTATGAATATGCCGAAGAGGTGAGAAAGAAAACTCAGTTGAATCTATAAGGATAATACAGTGTATAGTTTTATCATTTTTAATGCATCAGAAATGTCTTACACTGAGAAGAAAAGACAATGTTTCTCTTCCTTGTAGTTTACAGATGTAATATATGCAAAATTATTGTATGTGATAAAAAATGGCAATACTAAAAATGTACTTGCATAAATGTAAACAGGAAATTATAAACCTGAGACTCATGGGTACACAAAAGTGACAATTGAACGGATGGATTGCTTGATTTTAGTGGTTTTTGGTCACAGGGTTAATTATAGCTATGACTGTGGAGAAACGCACAGAATCATGGTTGGTGTTTCACGTATAAATTATGTATAAGATTGATAAGCTGAAGTGGAACCAACTTCACCTCAAAAGTTGGCATACTGTACAGTGTACCATGGGTGTCTATGATTTATTACCAACACTATCTTGAATTGTTATGGTAATTTTCATGAAAACATGTGCAACATTCTGACATTACTTATGATACCACATTTAAAGATATCTGAAAATGTATGCAAACTGTGATCCACATTTTATGTGTGGCCTGCTAGCCATACAGAATTTTGAGGCACTGCCTTCTCAGCCTTCATGAGAAAAGGATGATAGTAAGGCAGTACAAAATAATTCATATTGTGACTGCTGAAAACAGGCTTGACAGGAACTATATCAAAGCAGAACTCCTGATCTTTTCACTTGTCATACTTTTATCTCATAGGTACGTCTTGTCACATGATATACAGTAATTAATTTTATATAAGTATTTGTGATGGTGAGTAAGACAATTTAATACCACATTACTACTGGTGTTTGAGCAGATGACATTCAAGTTATATGACAAAAGTAACGTTACTTAATGTTATGAACCATCCAGAAGAAAACTATGTAATTCAGTCCCCTGTATATTAGTTATACTGAAAATGTGATAGTTTACATTTACCAATATTTCAGACCTCTTAATATTTTCATTTATTACAGTGTGATGACCTGTTAAAGAGCCTTCATGGTCAGGTCTATGAGTATAGAAACCTTGACATTACCAAGACCTGATTGTAATTCTGAACAGAACTAAAGGAACTATAGTAGTTCTCCAGAATATTTAGTATGTTGTCACTTATGGAATATTTAACACCATGGCTTACTTAAACATTTCAGAAGTGGTAGCTAAAATTTATATCCTTCTCATGGCATTACAAGGGAAAAATAAAAATACATTTACATATTGACATATTGGATATGTCTGTGTGAATATGAATATACAAATGAATATGAATGTACAAATACAATAAAACTGCAGACTGCAAGACAACAGACAAATACATCATCACCCCTTGATGAAGTCTGCAGATGGCAGGTAATCTCATGCTCCTCACTGTTGTACACAAAATGCAATCCTTGTGCAACAGAATATGATGGCCTTCAGTCTCAGCACTACAATTTACTCACTTTGCATCTATGAAGATACTACACAAATACAGGTAAAGTTGTCCCTGTGCTGAACTACGTAATTAAGCACTATGCCATGAAGGCATATGGGGGAGTGGATGTATAGATCCGCATTTTCTTCACCTGGGCACTAGATGGAGGTGAGTGGTCAGCTTCATGGCCCAGCCGCTTTACCCGTGGGGAAAGAGCCTCTGGTACCCATTGGATAGGTTTGGTGGACCCCAGAGCCCATCTGGATGATTTCGAGAAAAGAAAATTCTTGACCCTCCTGGGACTTGAACTCCTACTCCTTACTTGTCCAGCCCACAGCCAGTCACTATATTGACTATGCTACCCCAGCTCCACTACACAAATACAGGATTTAAAAACTAGAATCAGTGGCAGGTATTAAGAAAATCTTCCATTGGAGCATGTACCTCTAGTGTAATGGGATTTTATCACTGTAACCAAGAAATATTAACATCAGTTTAACTACTGAACTGAACCATCTATATTACAGGCCAAATTATGCTTTAGTCCTCATTCCCTTTTAATATAGCTAGTGCTACTGCCTAGTCCCTCCAGTCAGAATAACAATCCATGCACAAGCTCTAGGCTACTGATAGCCACCATATACAAAAACCTTAGACGTGTGTCAGTTTTGGTAATATGTGCATACACATCCACACACACAAATACATTAATCCCAGTATCTGACCTGCATTTTCAGATGTCTGCCCATGCTGATTTATGATGTTTACTGAGTATCAGATCTCTTTGATTTCTGAAAAAGTATATCGTCATTGTTAATGAGTTGGAAGTCATGCCAGTGTATTACAATGAAACACTGCACATGAATTTACCATCACAATACAACACATTACACATTTTTACCGCTCAGGCCATCTTTTGGGGCAGTCTAAGATAAAGTGGCCATGCCATAGCTTGAGCAGTTAGTTGCCAACTTCCCACCACGGTAGCCCACATTCAACCCCAGGTCAGGTCATGTAGGATTCATGGTGGACAGGGTGGCACTGGGATGGGTTTTCTCAGAGTACTTCAGTTTTTCCTGCCAGTTCTCATTCCACAAACTGCTCCACATTCATTAGTCATCCTATCATTGACACTATATAGTCTCGATACTGACAGCATCATTAAGCAAAAAAAATTAAAAAAAAAATGACATTGATAATCCATGTTTCATATAAAATTATTGAGTTTCGTTTCTTATAGCAAATGATTAAAATTCTGCAAAAATATTAAAATTGGGGTTTCATGATATTTTTATATATTTCTCATATTTCTGGATAAAATATTTAATTTCTAATTATTCTTTAGTAGCCTATAAAATTCTCGTATGTATCACCACAGTATCTAGTGTAGAGATTAATCATTATATAGCAAATTCAGTTTCACTGCATAATCATATGCAGTATCTTCTTTTTGGCAAGATGCTTGGTGACCAGAGATTGTTTTTTATGTAAACAATATTTGTGGCAATTATCTATTTTCCATCATATTTACCACACACAGAGGGATCATGGAAGGAACACATGATAAACATTAATAGAAAAGTGATAATTAGCTGCCATCAAATCTCAAAGCTTCATTTTAATATGAAACTTGAGACATGTTATTTAAGAAATGAAAATAATACAATGTGAAACGTGGATTACCAATGTAAACTTCAACAGCTTATGTGTATTAGACTGTTCCTGAAGATGATGAGTGGTTGAAACATGCTAGGATAAAGATAATATATATGATATTCTGTATTTAGATAGTAAATACATATTGTTTCTTCCATACTTATAAGTGACATTGCATTTGTTTTGTAGGTGTAACTTCAGTTAGTTACAGAACTGGGAAGACATAAACAGCACAGTGTGACATGAAAAATAAGTTACTTTGTGACAATATAGTGGCCCCTGTTCATTGAAGATACCCATATAAGAGAAAAATATGGAGGTATGGAACACTGCCATGTAAGTACAAGATCAGTGTTCTTGCTTTATAGTGCAATAACCAGTGTTAATAACCAGCTTTGGAGTAGTTCTCTCTTGGTAACTGAGAAAGATCATTTTATGTTGTTGAAGTAATTTCAACTTTAGTTTCACGAAATACTTTGAACCACTAGAACAGAAAGCAATATTTAGCACCCTCATGTATTTGTCAAGAGCCAGTTAGTATTAAATTTTATCTTAGAAAGGGGACTGGTGTTTCTTACTGCACAAAGTTGGAAACCATATATTCAATGTTAGGTGTACAAGTCAGCAACATTTTTTTATGGCTGTCAGAAGAAACTCGTGTAGCATTTGCAATTACATACTAAAGAAACACATAATATTATTCCATGAAACATGGACTGGCAATATGATAAAGAAATTTCAGCAGGCAGCTGGCAACACTGTGCACTAACAGGAACAGTCTGCACGCAGTACCATGCTGTTGGATTTATCCCCTGTCAACTGTGTATTACCATACTTGTAAATCTCATGTTAATTGTGACAAAGCATGTTATATAGAAAATGCTGTTTTATTTTTGTTACTCTACTTGTTTATCATTGCATCCTAAAGGGATTTGTATAACTTCAAACATGTGTTTAGTGCATAACTATGCAGTGGCAATGGCAAAATGAACTGTTCAAAGAATAAATCAGCTGCCCCCTTTCAGCATTTTGTAGTAGCACAGACCAATTCAGACATGCAACTTTGAAAAGCTGCTGCTCCATTCTTGATGTACTTCTTGACTGATGGTAGGCATGGAAATGCTCATTAATTTCTTGTCTTGAATTGAAGCTGCTGTTCAAGTTTTGTACCAAAATATTTTAATTCCTGTATCTTGATTTTTCAATGTGTATTAATTGAATATGCATTATCCTTTGGTTTCTCTGTCTTATTTAGAGTGTACCATTTCTGTGGGAGGAAAAAACATGGAATGTTCACTTACATGTACAGGTGCCAAAACAGCACAAAACTTGTTTCTTACTCATTACTATTTTGTACATTTTGTATGAACTGTGGAAACTTATACATCAATTTCTTCTGTAAGATAAGAAGGTATGTTTACTCTAGTAAAACTTTGATACTGAAATACCCTTGTATTTTTTTATGTAATCCAGCAAACTGCATGATTACGACAGGCCAAAAAAAAAAAAAAGGAAAGAAACATGCAGATATGTTATATACCTTTCAGAAAATGTTTCAAGATATGAACAAGGATGTCATCTTTCTGTAAAACTTCAGCTTCATGAGAAAGCTCTTAGTGTACCATAGATTAATTGGAATTTTGAGTGCAATATAATAAATGTAAATAAAATGAGAATCCTACATATTAAATATTAAAACCTTGCATATATATGTGTACCTTTCATTGCTTTTGTGGAAATGGTTCAGAATGGGCTCTCCCATTGTAGTGACTGATTCTTTGTTGGCCATTCAGAATGAAATATTTTCATTTACATTAGAATGTTTTAGCTGTGAACTCTCTGACTTTAAATGTAGATTATACTTCCAACAGCGACCCCTCCCCCCCCATGAAGTACAAATTTTGTTTTTTTCTCAGATATAAGTATGACGCAGTTATATGTCTTTTCTAAGGTGATAGTAAAAGCATTTTGTAAGTCTATCATGTATTGTATTTGTTTTAAAAATAATGCTTTCCCTTCTTAGACTATCACTGTCCTGCTGTACTAAATAAAATATCCTTTGTCAGTGGTGCGGTGGGCTTTCATACAGCCAGTCTAGTATGCTGCAAGATTTTAAACAGTCTACAGCTACAGAATAACTAGGGTTGCTTTGGTAAAGCTTACAATTGGACAGGTGCTTAGAAGCAAAGAATGACAAATGTTTTCGAACATGTTTAATTAAATTCAAAATAAAAATCCTAAAAAAGGTGTAGTGTGGATCTGAATGAAACTGTTCAAGCTGCAGGCATTTTGAGGGTTTCAGCTTTTGGAATTTATACTGAAGATATTCAAGGCCCACTGGTATCAGTGAAAATGAAAAGGAGAGAAAATCAACTAGAGTAAACTGCAAGAAAGTGAAGTATAACAATTTTATTAGGAGTGGCAAATAGCATGAAGTTCATGACTTTCATTTTAAAAACTAACCTCCTTCAGCAATATAATGAATTTTACAAAATCCATACTTCACCTTCTTAAAGAATCTGGCTCTGTTTATGACAGGAAAGGGAACAAAGCCATTAGAACAGAAAAAGAGGATTTGGTGGCATACCTTGTCCACAGTAAGAAATTCAGCAAAGAAAATAAGAGCACTATGCACATTGATGAATCATGGGTCAATACAGGAGCTTAAAGATGAGACAAGGAAAACTTCTCTCATAAGACTCTTATAAAAAATTAAAAGGACAGGTTGTGAATGTGAAACTTGTGTTTCTGTGCAAAAAGGACACCACTGATGCCCATGACAAAATGAATGGTGACTGCTTTGAGAAGAATTTTTGTTGTGCAACTTCCTGCAGCCAAAAAGCAGTATATAACACATGATATTCTATTCAAAGAAAAGATGCCAAAGGAGGATTTAACAGATCTTGTGAACAGTGTCAAATGGAAATATGGTATACAGATGATTAATATTATCTCCATATCACTGTGAAGTGAAACCGACTGAACTTGTGTGGGCTCATGCAAAACATTACACTGCCATGAAAAGTCCAAATTTGAAACTGGCCAAAGTAAAAGATTAATTCATAAAGGATTTAATACTGTAAGTGTAGAGAACTGCAACAACTCTGCTGAACCTCAGGGTAACAGAAATTATGATGTAGGAAGTCGATGAAATTCAAGAAAAAACAGCCCATCATCCAGCTATGTGATGACAGTTCAACTTCTGATGATTCAACTATCAAAGCGACTGACACCACAATGATGATGGAAGTGATGAAAATTATGTGGAAACAAGACCGGTCTGGTTGTTGAAGGCCTACAGGAAGTACTCTCCATCTTTAAACAAATTTTGTATAGAAGAGATTGCAACAAACTGTACAGGGTAATTATGTAATATAGCATATTTCCATTCTTCATGCAATAGTAGTCTTGACTTCACACTAATAATAAAGTAAGAATTGTTTTCAAATGTTGTTGCCATAAGAGGAAGAGTCTACTTTGATCACTGAAAAATCTTACAGCCAATAAGTCACCAAGCCAACAGAAAAACTGTAATACCTTTCACAACATTCTGCAACACATATGTAAGTTATTTAGTTTGATTTTATTCAAGTTCCTTAACAATATTCATCTGTATATAAACGAGTGCTCTTAGATACTCCTTAGCATGCCCATCTTGACATGTAAATCATTTCTAACACACCTCTCATTATACAGATTTCGATTCAGAGAAAACAGACATGATAAAAAGTTTCTCAGTAACAAAAGTATATAACTGTGGTGATGGAATGTGAGAACTTAATGTATTCAGCATGAAAAATAATCTGTACCACAAGAACACAATTTTCACTCATTATGCAATCAACTGTCATTCAGTTTTTACTGTAGTGATTTCACAAGTGTGTTGATTTTCTCCACACAGTCTTCTTTCTTCTTGTTAAGCTGATTCTCAGTGTCAACAAATGCCTGCCGAGCAATCTTTCCTGGGACTAGTTTATCAACATACAGGCTCTGGTGTTGCGTGTACAAGTCTTTCAGATGCCTGTCATAACACAAAAGCAAAGAAGTACTTATCAAAGAAACTGGCCTATACAATTAAGAGTGAGTTAACCAGTCAAGTGGCTCTTTTCCTTCTTCTTATCTCTCCCACAGTGGCACATTAAATTGCCCTGGACATTTAAATTCGTCACTTCAGCATTTAATTTTATAATTTGAAATGCAATATCTCAATCATGTGTCATTATAAAATTATGGGACAGAAAGCCTCTGAAAAACTAATTATCAGACTTCACATATCTGTATTTTAATTTCTACAGCCCTTGCATTAAATTGTATATATATATATATATATATATATTCTTTAGTAAAATTCCATANTTTAGTAAAATTCCATACTTTTGCCTTTATTCTCAAAAAAATCTGCCACTGTCACCACTGACTTTCATTTCCGTTCATACTACGTGATCTCATACATATGCACTCAATGAAAATTATGCCCGAGTCATGCATATTCAATATATGTGATCTTGACTGGTGTCTGGTGCTTAGAAATTAACACGATTATAGCAGTTGGCTGACAAAACTCTCTAGCGAAAACACACATTCCCAGCTTGGCTTATTGTGACACTGTGGATGCCTCATTGATACACAGAGTTTCTTACTGCTATGTGGGCTGAAGCTCAAGGCTAGGATGGATGAATGAACAGAACTGCTCTTCCAAACATCACTGCAAAACTGTTATTTTTACAGACAATTAAATCTTCACTAAAACGATTATCATCACTGGCACGACAGCCCTTTGTGAGCCCTGGCCTTCCTCGGGATTGCTCATCATTCTTCTCTATTCGATGCTACATTCCTCCAGTTCTTTACACCCAAAATTCTTATGTCCTACCACACACATTCGTCCCATCTTAACTTTGGTCTTCCCCCTCTCCTATTTCCTTCTGGTTTAGTATTAAGCATTTTCTTGATGCTTCTATTCTCGCTGGCACGTATTATGTGTCCAGCCCATTCAAGCCTTTTCACCTTTATAAAAAACGATTATACCAACAGAAACATTGCTGCAACTCAAGTTGCAGATACTGTGAATACTTTGCAACTATGTAGTTTTCAATACCAGCCCAGCAATGGGTCCTAGATTTTAGTTTTACATGAGCTGTGTTTTCTAAATTTTTTGGGGCATACTAATTTCTTTCTCTGGCTATTACTTCCACAATTTCTGGTGTACAAAACAAGTCAAAATATTCCAGTGGGTTACTGGGGTCTTCTAAAACAACATTTATGCCAGGCTTGCCAGTAAATGGAAAACATGGTTGCTCAGCACCTAAATTTGCCCATATGTCAGGTTGCATATTACTGCTGTTGCTGACACTGTTTGCTTCATCAGAGCTGACTCTGTTCACCTTCTGATAAAATTTTCACATTTATATTCTATCACTATTATATTCACTCTCTGAAATATCACTGTATTCATTCTCTTGTAACAGTTCATAGAACACCTCATCACTTACACGCATCTTCTTGCTAGGACCTACCATAATGTTTAGTCGAAAGAATTTGAACCCAGGACAGCTATCGAGCAATCAATACCTTACTGTTACACTCTGAAGTAACTAGAACATCTCGAAAGCATGACATACAAGTTTGCATTGCCAACTGCCGTTACATCTACAATGGAGTAGTTAGAAACATTCGTGACGTCTATACGAGTAGACATCATAACCACTTGACTGGTTAAATATTCCTTTGTATCAATCTAGCAACTTAAGTATCCATTTCATAAAATAATTGCAAGTAACAAATACTGGTTTATGTGTCTTATTCAATGAACTGTTAACTCACAACCCTTGTTAGCCATATCATACAAAGGCCATCCTTCAAAACCTCCCCCATTTAAAGGATAAGTAATGAGTTATAAACTGCCTGTCAATAAACCTAAAAGTTTTTGGAGCTCAAATATTGTGTAGTGAAAAGTGTTGGTCATAAGGAATGGCATTTTACCATCACAATATCACTGGACTTGCCCACTTCAATTTGAGTTTGACAGTGAAATTCTGTAGATCCCTAAGGAAAATGGAGGTGAAATGATAAAAAAGTAAATCTGATTCAAATGTTATCACAGAACACAAATAACAAGCATAAACTTACTTATAAAAGTGAAACTCTATAATAAAAGATAACTTCTCATCCCATGTACTACTCTACATTTTGCTTCAAATGTTTTGCATTGAACTGAAAATGAGCAATTCCACAAAGGATGTAATACACAAGATACATACTTATCAGCTTTCTGTAGCTCTGAAACCTTTTCAGCAAGATCTGCAGAATCAGCTTTAAGTTTTACCAGAAGTTCAGCAATGTGAGCAGTTTCATTCTTGTGTTCATGGTTGATGTTCTTCACTGACGCCTGGAAAATGGATATCACAATTCCATGAAAGTAATCTGCCATCAACTTGCAACAGCCACAGTAAATGTCAGTGGATAAGACTGTGGAATGGAAGAAAGGCAGAAAACATAATAACTGGAAAACATTACATGGGAAACATCTTCACTGTCTAGATGCAATGTAAGTTAATTAAGCTGGAATGCAACTAGCTTTTGTTTTACAAAGTACGAGGGTTGGAACTTTAATAGTGGCAACACTGCTGTAGAGACGCCATGCAATGGACCCAAATAATGTTGCTTATACCACACATTAGTTACATACCTACCCTACCTCAGAGAAAATGGACTCTCCCTTCCTACATCATGTGCATGTGCAGTGACAAGAACAGAGCCTCGTGTTAGCTGGCAGTCTAAAGACAGGAACAACAGAGTTGGATAAAGACTGAATGTGCCAGAGGCCGTACAGCATGACAGTGTCATCAAGGTCTTCAAGAGGCTTACGGGGAATTTGCATTGCCTTACAGAAGAGTGGCAAGGTGGGTAAAAGCCGTCAACGAGGGACACAAAAATGTGGCAGACCTGTGTCGGCCAGGTCGTCCTAGTGTCAGTGAAGAAGTGTATGCTCTTTTCGCGTTACTGGAGAGTGATTGACACCATACAATTAGCAAGCTGGCCTGAGGGACAGGATTAGCGCTATGACTGTGCTTCACATTCTGAAGGAACACCTGGGCATGAGAAAAATTGCATCACAACGGGTTCCACATGATTTGACAGAAATGCAGAAATGGCAAGCTGTGGCTGATTTGTTCGATCGATGGGGCTGGGAAGTGCTGTACCATCCACCATACTCCCCAGACTTAAGCCCTTGTGACTTTGACTTGATTCCTAGGATGAAGGAACCACTTTGTGGCATTCGCTTCAGAGCTGTTCCAGAGATTGAGGCAGTAGACCACTCCATTCGAACTATCAACACAACAAGCGCTGCTAAAGGTATCCTACGACTTCCACATCGCTGGCAAAGGGGTTGTACACAATGCTGGTGACTACACTGAGGGACAGTAAAACTTCGAAATATGTATCTATTTTGTATCAGTTGTAAATAAATAGTTGCCACTATTAAAGTTCCAACCTTCATATTTTAAGAATCATAATACTGTAACTTGAAACAACTGTACACCTGAGCCATATTTAGGCCACATCAATGGATTATATTAAAATCGGGAGGTGTCTGAATGTCTATGCATATAACGGGTTAATGTACATGCAGTATATCAATTTTATTATAAAAGAATTTTTCCCTAAAAGCATAGATTGTGTTCTTATGTTTAATGTTATCAGGGACCAGTATGTAACAATAATTCTGTTGTCAATGTTGATTTTACGTTGATACTTTTAGCAAGTTAGATATATTCTTTCTGCCACATTTCACAAATTTCAGGTAAGAGCATACACTCTATTAGAGTTAAGAACAGTTTGAAATTTAATATTCTTACAAGAAATGCATTAATGTCCTTGGATAATTTCAGTTTAGCCAGCTGCTCACTGTAGGAAGTGTATGTAATGGCCCGTTTATCTTGATGGGCCAGTATTTTCTCGCAATAACCTGCAACTCTCATGCGACTCTCTCCTGCTTCATCCTGCCAAGAGTCAAACATAACTGTAATACAGTAAATATAAATATACAGATACAGTAAAAGTAATACATCACCATCTTGTAAAAACATACACTTCTCACAAATACCTCACTTGTAGCTGATGTGTACATTATTTACAGTAAATGAACATTGCCGAACACAGGCCCTGCAGAAAAGTCATCAGTTCCTGGATATTCTTTCAAGAAGTTCTATTGGCACAGTCACAATCTACATAATTAATGTATCGACTAACTTAACATTAGCAAGACACGCTGTTAGGATAGTTAGTTAGAGAGGGTGGGTTTCCCCATGCACTTAGACCTATAGTGGTCCATTGTGCTTCCCTGTATGATTTCTACCAGTCTCTATATCCTACCGGTATTGGTGCTTACCATCAGTCCCGCCCAGCCAGCGAGACCGGCTCTACTGGCTGAGAAGTATCTATAATGCCTCCCCCATCTACCGGAGGTATTAGTGACTGCTGTTGGGCGGCTAACGTCCGCAATTTTGGCTCAGTGACCTCCTTTGGAGGTGTGAGGTTCTTTTACGTGCCGTAAAGCTACGACACGGGACCCACGGCTTTAAAGTCCCTCCCGGAGGACTTGTTCCCTGAATTTTTCCGCACTTAAAAATTCGACAACCTCCGATGGGTATTTGAACCTGCGTACTACGAGTCATGAGGTGGGAACGTTGCCTCTAGACTACGGAGGCCGCTTTGCTGTTAGGATAATTTAACCTCATCTTGATCTGCACTAGAGGCAAGCAATGTAAAGAAAAAAGTGACTTAATCACTGTTACTTGAAAATTTATTACTGCCAGTTTCATATCTGCAGTAGTGGTGACTTAAGTCCCTGTTTATGTTTCACTGGACAGTAAGTGCAGCAGGTAACTAACAGTAACAGTACAGACACTGGTTATTATTCACTAATGGAACATCCAAATCACTGAAGCTAACAGTGACTGGGGTATTATGGCATTTCACTACACAACTCCTGTACCTGCAGCAAGCAGCTATTAACAGTAGCTAGACAGGTACTGGAGTGACTTCCATCACTGCATTGGGAACTCCCATGCAGCAGTGATTAAAGTGCTTCTTTACATTTCACTGCCTAATCCCCCAGAATCCCCATAGAAGGTAGCCTGAAATTGGATAGGTGTCAGTGATTTGAGACAATATAGTGCAAAAAAAACTGTTGCATTCCAGCAATTTCAGTTACCTTTTCACCAAGGTAGGTTTAATAATTAGCAATCACTGCAATCATCATAGTGCACAAAAGGCTCCAACTGTTTTATTTTAAATTCAAATTTAAGTGTATATAATAGTATTGTTTATTATATTATTATTATTATTATATACTTTTTATTTTCTCTATTATGGGAGTCTAATATGTCTGCTAGAATTCAGATGTTCATTCAATACATTAGGAGCTGTGCTAAATCCTGAAGGTTTAACACTACTGATATCCAACCCTGCCAATGGACATGATTACGAATTAATACCATCCACCTACATTCTCATGACCTAACTCTGTAAGGTCCACCTTAATGTTATCCTCCCACCTTCTGAATTCAAGGACATTCTTTTCCAAACTCTGTAAGCATATACCCTCTGTATCTGAGATACATATATTCTATTCAAGAAATTCCATATCAACTTTTACATTTCTTGTTTTGCTATGACATTTCTGGAATCAAAAGCTGATGAAAGACCACAGCATATATTTGGGAGAAGGTCTCTTCATAACACATGATGTGCTTCTCTGTACAGCGAAACTTCCATTCATAACTGCAAAATGGTTAAATAAGAGTTTTACTCACCTTAGTTATAGAGAAGTCTAGTCGCACATAGATAATGACAAAGAGAAATAAGAGATAAAAGGCCAGAACAACAAGGAAAGGCTCTTGCAACATTAGAATCCGAGGGAACTTGTACTGAAGCTGAAAAGACAAAAAGTACAAATAATATTTGCAAATAACTTCCACTTCTTGTTCTTAACACTGTTGCTAGTCATGCAAACTGTTCAGAACATGAAAAGAATGCAAGTGAATATATAAGGAAATAAAAGCTCCATGGTGAAACTGTGTTATAATGGGTATGGCTTATAATGACTTCACTGCAGCAACAAAAACCACTGGAGCCATCAATTTCTTAATGTTGTTTATATGGAAAACCATCACAAAAAATAAGAGCTTTTCTGGCACAATCATCATCAAATGTGTTTGCTCATGCAGCATTTTATAGGCACAATGTCTGTGTGTGTGCGTGTGTGGGGATTTTCCAGTGTACAGAGAGTAGGTGGGAATGTTGCTCATAAAGGACAGATCCTACTTAGTAATCTGTTGTGAGCAGAGAAGAGGTTACTTATGATTAGCAACTCTTAATGCTTTTTGTTCAGATAATGCTAATGACAAGACAGCTAAATTATTCTTCATTATTTTCATATCCCTGTGATAATCATTTCAAAGGAAGAGAAATATCTCCATATCTGCACTGTTATTTAAACCTTAGTATCATACTGTGTTACATGTAATTGAAAGTTAGGAGACAGACTTTGGGTTCATATTTCAACCATTCTTAGATATTATGAGTATCCGTTACAACAATCATTTCTAGGAATTTTACATGTTCTCATGAAATCAACCTTCCACTGTAGGTTTCTTTAAGAACAATACAGTGGTGAATACTGTTCAATCCTTAATTAATTCCCTACATTTAGAGTCCAAATGATGTCACCTCCAAACAATATATACAGCAACTGTAATTATAATTAAAATAAAAACATAAAGAAAAGACACCTGTGAGATAATGATGCACAAGCTGATGTGGCCAGATACTGAAAGATATCGTCATGTGCAGAGGGTACGCATGACAAAAATAACAGGTACTAGTTCAGATGATGGGATTTATTGGTACTTCAGTTACAAGTTCTCTCTTAATTACAATTAATACAGCACTATCACTGATTTACACACTTTCCTGTCCACCACTGCGCATGCACTAGGCTTCTCAGTCTTCACTAGTTGTCTCCTGACAATGGATCTCAACACAGACTAGCATGCAAATCATATGAGGTCTTCTTGCCATTTCTTGTTCAATCAGCCTGGAACCTCAGAACTCAACCTAAAACTCTTTTGGACTCTTCTTAGCTGCAAGTGGACTCCTGCTATATAGCCACAGCACAGACAATGCAGAAAACACAGCTCTACTGTTGCATAGCACAGACCCCATAGAAAACGCTAGTCACATGATAGCTAAGCACTGTTGGGATGTGACGTCACTGAGCCTGCACGGAAGTGTGTTTACTGAGCCGTTAACTAGAAGTGGGTTGCATAATCCCATTATTTCATTGTTACGTTCATGTATTACTTAAAACGACCATTTCTGTGGTTCAACCGTTCTTGCATGGAGCAAATATGCCACAATATCAAGAGAGGCAACAGCTAGAATGAAAAAGAAATGGAAGGATTGTGGGTGGAAGAGGAGAATGGAGATTTTTCATCTGCTGTCCCATATAGAATGGAAATGATGCTATAAGATGATGATCTAAATTGTAGATGCTAAATTCACATACCACTCTACATACAACAGTTAATATCCACCTTGCCAACATCAAATATAATCTTCAGTATAACTGCCAAATCGAGTTGTGTAAAAATCAACTTACCTCAAAATCCTGAATATGATTCTCAACAAGATTTTTCTTCCTTAGCATTATTACTGGTCTTCCTTTTGTGTCAAGATATGTAAAATGAAGCGAATTAGGCAAGTGCTCTACAGGATACGGAGTTGTAAGTTGAATATCCTGGGAACCTTCTGGCAGAATTATTTTGGTTATCACTTCATCAACAATCATATCATCAAACACATGATCCAAGAATCGCATTCTTAGCAAGTAATCATCTCCTGCAAAAGAAAAAGAAAAATAAAGGTAAGGTTTTACTTAAGAATATCATGTCACTAAAATATAAAACAAATTTTTAAGTCCAAAGGCTGGTACGATCTAAAAGTTTGTGATGATGATGAATTGTTACAATTAATATGTTGTTGGATATTATCCATCATCTTGTCTATTCTTGAAAAACCGTCCTGTTTCTTTTAAAAACACAGAATGTGTTGTTTTTAAAAGAAACAGGATGGTTTTTCAAGAATAGACAAGATGGTGGATAATGTCCAACATCATATTAATTGTACCAAAGGCTGGTGTTCCTAATATTAGTTGTTATTCTAACATAAAGAATTACCTCTATTAAATAAGTACTCATAGCTTGGAACATTGTACCCAATAACATAGTGTGTTTTCCAGCCTCCAAATAGTGGAAATCTTGGCCGAAGATCAAGTTCAACAGAATCACTTAAAATTTTCATATGTGAAGTGGAGATGTTACCAATTTCATCTCGATAATATGCATCAGTTGCAGCTGCTGGGAGAATGGTCTGAAATTAAAGTCAATTACAAACTGTATCACTAAAAGCTTGCAGATGAACAGTACTTAACCAGTGAACAGATAGATCTACCACAGTGTAGAATAAATGTGAAACAGGTCAATGTACTCAATCATGTTCTACCAAGAAGAAAAATTTATATTTGTATTGTCATGTGTAGGGGGGGGGTACACGTGACAAAAATAACGGGTTCTAGATTGGATGAATGGATTTGCTGGTGTTCTCTTACAATTACATACATGAACTAATGTCTTCAGCACTTCAATTATTGAATGCTCTGTGATTCAAGTGTGTACGTAGCCAAGTCCAATTCCGCAGTGGTCTCCTGTTCTCTCTGCTAGCCAAATTGCTGTTTTATAACTCTTGGTGGCTGGGATAAGAGACACCTTGAAGAGTTCCCTATTTCATATCTGCAGTAACTGTCTGCCTGGGCCACACCATAGCTCAATCGGTTAGTCGCTGGCTTCCCACCGCGGCGGCCCAGGTTCAATCCCGGGTCTGGTCAAGTGGGATTTGTGGTGAACAAAGTGGCGCTGGGGCGGGTTTTCTCTGAGTACTTCGGTTTTCCCTGCCGATCTTCATTCCAGCAAATTCTCCATCATCATAATCACCCAGGGCAGATAAAATAGGCCAATCAGTGGCTGCCGTACTGAGTGGACCCAGCTGGACTCCACCCCCCACTAAGCAAATAAAAAAAAACTGTCTGCCTACACACGTTACCACAGAAACCAAGTGTTTTCACAGACGTGCATGTATAATAAAACCATGATAACACCATTGGCATGGAAATGTATTGTTAATACTCATTGCCTACGAAATAAACGTTCGATCTGACTCCACTATTCCAGCTTTCAGGCTTCATGTCACACTATTTAAAATCATTTATATAAAAACGAAGTTCATAAAGAAGTTAGGAGGAGAATAAATGCTGGGAATATGTGCTAACATTGAAAACTGGTCATCCTGTTCCCTTTCCAAACCAGAGAGGTTAATGATATACAAGACAATAATTTTGCCTCTTATTTAGTATGGATGTGAAATGTGGACTCTTACTTTGGGAGAACAAACTATTAAAAACAAAGTGTTCACAACAATATCTGGATCTAATTAAAATGTAGTTATACTGTGAATATACTGGTACAGATACACTCTGTGCAGGTATCCTCTACCTCAGGGCTCTCATCACAAATGTCCTCAATCCCCACTAACTCAAACGGTACAGAGAAAACTTGACTTCAGGTTTCTCTGGGGGACAAGCTTTTTGTAACTTAAACTGGGGTAAACCCTAAATGGGGGTTAAGGAAAACAGAGCCTAAAACAACCGTTAAACTTAGTTAAATCAATAATTAGGCACTACAACTTGTTCATTTAATAAAATAAGTTTTATCATTTCTTAGAATGTGCCACACCCCAAAATTCCTCCTCAAGAATTGAAGCTTTCTGTAGAATTATGTTACTGAATGATGACAGGGGCAGCACAAACATTCTGCAATTCATTTTGTGACATAGTTGGATTGGATAAATAGCAATACCACAAAAAAAGATAATTTTTCAAATGTGTCTTGCCAGCTATGTAGAGCAAGTGAAGTATCCTAAGCATAAAAATTACCTTAAAGGATTTGACACTGGACAAGCCACTCTGAGTTTCCCTCTGGTACTCGTACCGAGAGAATGGCCCCTTCAGGGTAGCACCACTGTGTTTTAGGTCAATGGTTTCTTCAACAGCAATATTTCCCCAGTGAGACACTTCAATCACTCTTTCCAAGTTTGTGATTGTCAAGAAGGGTGCATTATTTTCATAATGAACTGACATCTTATCCTGAAAATTTGATATTACAAATAAAACTGATGTTACAATTATTACTTAAAGGTCAATCTGCTCTAAAAATGGGGTTTGAAGGGGTACCTAAAATGCTATCAGAATTTTAAAATGTCATACTGGACAAGCCAAGAAAATTCAGTTACTTAACAGTTTGCTCCTACTAATATCCTAGAACATACTAAGTTAAAAAGGTTCTGTCTAGCGGAGTAAAAAAATGCCTTATGATGTATGAAAACATGCACACTGGATCAGGTGTAGGGGTGTTTTCCAGCAGTTAACTGCCATCTGCTATACAGCAGTGGAGCATGACAGTGATGTCTGGGCCATGCAGAGAGAAGAATATTGGTGCAAAGAAGGTTCTTAATAGTCAAAGCAGACAAATGATATATACATATAATGTACATTTATTCATGAAGGAGAAACTGGGAAAGCAATACTGATTCAACAATTCCGTAACGGAACTGCTGCTTGATCTGGTGTTTCTCATGCCACATTACAGCAGATTATCAGAGAATGAGAATGTAACAGAAATGAAAGGTAAAATGCAAAGGAAATGAAAGAAATTCACAAGATCACATAAAAACAAGCTACAGTGAATGCTAAAACTGATGACTGTGATGAGCATATATGTAGAGTAGCAATAAATGGGGTCACATTACAGAAGGTGAGCTTCTTACTTTGAATTATCTGCTACCAGGGCTGCGAAAGAAAATACATTTTCAAGCAGGGAGGTAGGTTTGGTGAAAAATAATTAAAAGACTTTTCCTAGCAGAGAACAGTGAACAAAAGAAAACCCCTTACTGCAAACCCAGATATACATAAGAATAGGCTTAACATTTTAAGATCATGCAGTACAGAAGAGGGGCGCAAAAAATAAGATTAACAAGTATGAAACCTACAATCATTCAACACACAACAAACAAAACACATGGTAAAGCAACTCAACATTGAAATCAAAACACTTAGATTTGGATACAAAGTTACAGATGATACATCTCTATAAACTTAGTGGCTTGTCAAAGGGCAAACAGGAAAGACTAAATGGAATCACTGTTCAACAATGTTCACTACTGCTGGGGGGGGGGGGGACCANATTTGAAATCCACACTCTTCAAGCAGTTTTGCCAGAGGCCAGCTGCCATACTAGTTGATGGACCAGTGGTCATAGCAAAAGTTAAACATTCCATAGCACATTTAAAAATCAAGAACTTCTGAAGGGAGGCTTTATCTTTTCAAAGCAAGAAAAGGTTCTAGTGCGCACAAATGTAATGCAATTCTGCTGCATTTAAAACTGGCTTGTAATGTAGCATACATACAGATTATTCAAATAGGTTCAACTTTAACTTCATACATTGTGGGCATGTACCAAATAGAAGGTGGGACTTTTGCTTATGAAGGACAGCTGCTAATAAGTGGTCATATGAAAGTCTGTGAAATTACATAAGTGTGAGAAAATCTTTTAATTGTTATGAAGTTTGGGCTTCTCATAGCAATCATTATGAAGAGTGCCATTTTCTGGGGGACAGCCAGGATAGCAGTTGGTATAGCGATGGGCTACAGGCTGGACAACCAAGGGGTAGGAGTTCGAGTCCTGGTGGGTACAAGAATATTCACTTCTCCATATCCAGACCAGCTCTGGGGACCACTCAGCTTTCTATCCAATGGATGCTGGGAACTCTTTCCCCAGGGATAAAGCAACCGGGGGAGTGAAGCTTACCGCTCACCTCCAACTACTGCCAAAGTCATGAAAACAGGGATCTATACATTCAATTCCCCATACATCTTTATTGCGTGGTGCTTAATTAGTTAAGCACAGAGACAACCTAACGTTTTTACCTTACCATTTTCTGGGATGTGAAACCATGCAGTCTGGTAGATGTTTACCAATGTTCCTTCAAATTGTCAGTAAACTTCTACAAGATTATGTGGCACTATATCCTAGAATACTTTACTCTTTTCAATGTCTCCATTCAGATACAGCTAAAGATGCCGAGTATGTTAAACTATTCTCTTATTCTCATACCTCTATAACAACTTAAAAAGAAAATATTGCAGTGCCTGCATTAATTATTTTTAACTTTAGTACTGGGTTACATTATACACAATTAGAAGTCAGGAGACATTTCTCCCTCCATGGAGGCATGTCTTGTCATGCTCTTGCATATTACAAATTCAGTAATAATTTCCAAATATTAAATATCAGGAATATAATCAGATTCAAGCAAATGAAAGGCATACATTGATACTTACTATAGAAAAAGGAGGAATATTTTCATATGGCCCATACATGATGGTATAGTCAGACTGAGAAGTTGGCTTTAGTTTTGTGTAGCTCTCAATGCTTCTTGTACCAAGATTTACTACTGTACTTTGCTTTGTGACAGGATAAGGAGTATAGAAATAATGGTTGCCATGATACAATACAAGCTGCTTCTCTTTCTGTGTGATAGAAGCTGGATGAGGAGTAAGCTGATGTGTATAGACTGTCTCTACATCCACCTGGAACAAGTATGACAACCATTAACTTTCAGTCTAATTACATATAAATTGAGACATGACTGCTGATGACATATAACTTCTTTTTCGAATAAACTCAGAAATTTCCAAACCGTCATGATGTACATTTTAACAGATACACAGCATTTCAAAACTACTTTACACATGACTATTACCTTCCCTTACACAAATCACAAATACCTATTAAAAGAAACACCCTGCACGTGAATGCGCACACACAAATTATCATATGGTGTGATCCTTCTTCATGTACCTACTGAATTCCACATGCCTTTCCAGCTAGCTAAACCTGCACAGTGAGTTCAGTGTAATGATCAAGCTTGTTACCTCAGTGGGAATGCATGTGACTTATATGTGAAACAAATCCAGTTCAAATCTTTTCTTGGGAATCAGCCATCTTGATGGTCTACGGTCTTCCTCAGTCCTAATGGCACAACAGCACCTTCATGCAAATAATGTGTATTCCACGATTCTTTACTACTAACCATTCATGGTCATCTTGATTTGACGCTATTACTTTTGCTGTTGAAACAACACTGTTAAATTGTACAAGAATCAATCCATCATTGCAATAACAGCATTTACTGTATTGGACAGGCTTCAACAGATTTTCTATAGTTGCAAGCACCACCTCCAAAAATTTGGAGACGAAATGGGAAATAAAAGAAGCTGGGAAATTAGCCAGTGCATGTGTGTGCATATATGTCGTGTGTAGACCCTTACTGGGTAATAGTTGCAAACAAGCATGTCTCCACAGCAACAAATCAACACACAACAATAGAGGAGCTGTTGGAAATGGTGTCTTTTACAGTGGTCTGTGCCAAGGACTTATAAGTGGGACGAATTGAAGACTCTGAATTGAATTGAATTTATTTACATTCTATAAATCCTAAGCAGGTTAGTACCTTTGGATACAGAACAAGTCAAAAGGTTACATATATAAGTACAGGCAATTTTAGCTTAAAAATTAATATAACTTAATTTTACATCATTCTCTATTTACATTGAAGTATTCATCTAAAGAGTAGAAGGAATGAGCATGCAGATAATTCTTTAACTCTGATTTAAACTTTTTAGTATCATTGCCCAAGTTTTTAATACTTTGTGGCAGATTGTTGAACACTTTTATGCCAGTAAAGTAGACTCCTTTTTGATATACTGATAAAGTTGATGAGGGTAGGTGGAAGTTATATTTTTGTCTAGTATTCATGTTATAGACATCAGAATTTAATTTGAATTTATCTTTGTTGTAAACAACAAATAAGAGAAGCGATAATAT